GAAGAAACCCTCGACCGTGATCCAGAATCTTTTATCTCTCACTTGGACGCGATCTACAAGCTCACCCTAGTCGTGTATGCGGTTATTGTTGTCCGGATCTCTGACAAGGCAAAACAATGTCATTTGTTGGCCACTCCCTTCTTCGTGTTTACCCGGCTTGGGGCACGTATGATGCAAGGAGATACCGGTTGGCTTCTTTGAATTCCAGCCGAGCTTCTTCAGCTCTCCCCAGCGCGCTAGGAATGCCATCACCTGCAGCAACGATATGTTCTATCAACTTGAGGGGGTATTCTGAAATGAGAAAGAAATGGGTGGCGAGACAACACACCTCTAATGCTTGATAGGATTTTAGGGTTCTGTACACCAAACTTTTAGCATCTAATTTCCCCAGATACAAAAAACAAAGTGGCTAGGATCTTTAGGGTTTTGCGCGTAAAAGGTCCAAATACCGATCACTACCCTAACCGCGGTTTTTGAAAAGCCGAGCGTACAGCGCCGCTCATTCTTCTGGCGCTCCCGCAAAGCAGGCCTCCCCACAGCAGTTAGACTCGCCCCGCTGTCTAGCCGGGCTACACTACGCGCTCACGCCTCCCCCAGTTCCCGCCCCGATATATCGTAGTACTCCGATCATACACGTGGCTTCCAGCTGCCATGTCGTCTCCGTCCTCGCCAGCTCCGCCCCAAACGACCGACAACGCAGTTTCTGGGGCTAGAATTTCTCTCGAGATTGCATTACCTACCTTCGAGGGTGAGCTTGCATCGTGGGAAGCGTTTGGAGAGGCGTTTGACCGGTAAGATAATAGCTTCTAGTATTTTTACCATACTTTCTAACCAAAATGCGTTCTGTAGCTACCAAAAATAGACTTTTAAGATATATAGGTTGAGGACGAGTAATTTTGTGCGTGACCGGAATCGTGAAACTCAAAAGCGGGCTGCTCGAATTGGAAAAGAACCGGATTTGTACGACGACACCCTCAAGTATTGCATAAGATGTTTATCTGTACACATGATTGGGATTTCAAGCCTCGGGGCAGAGGTGACCGCATAAACCACACTGTCCGTGGAATTGGTTGCAAGGCGCAATTGAATGCCGTGCTGAGCCGTGAGAAAGGCGTCTACACTGCTCGAATTTAGAAGCACCAGTCGGCCCATAATCACAGCGTGGGCCACCTGCTAAGCGGAGACACGTGAAATCGAATCACCAGTGATCAAGCGTGTTGCCAAGACAATGTTGCAAAGTAAAACAATGTATTTTACTGATATTTAGCTTACTGAGTTATGCTCTAGCGCTTGAGGTTTTGGTAGGTGGTTCGAAACGCAAAAAAAAGCTTTCGATACCTGAAAGAAGTGTCTGGCAAGCCGCTTCAACCGAAGGTTGCTGAGAACAGGATTGCCGAGATGTGTCGCGAGATGTACACCTCATCGGATGACAACGTTCGAGTGTCCGATCTGTTGCAGGACTTTGGAGAGGGACCGGGGAACACTGTAGTCATTTGTCGTGATCCTGCAACAAGTCTCACGAGCTGTATCACCTTCCAGACCGCGCACATGAGGAGGATGGCCAGGAAGTTTCCAGAGGCTCTACGCATTAATACCACACATGGACTAATCTCAACAGGTGCGGGGGCGATGATATCGTCGTCGACCCCATTTACATGCAAATGGCAGACGTGGAGAGAAGTTGTGGAGTTATCGACACTAGCGATCGCATCTTCAGTTAAATACACGCGAATCGGATCGTGTGCTGCCCAGTTTATATTAGCGTGACGTTTCCTCGCTGGTGTGGTATTATCTGTGAGATTGAGCGGCAAACAGTATGGACATTCAACCCTTTTCACAAAGAGGATCTTCTAATCAAGATGGAGGAAAGTTTCGAGAGTCGATTTCGGCCGAAAATGGCTACTGTGATGGAAGTCGAAAACTTCCCAGGCTGGCTACAAGATGACGGTTATAGCTGCGGGGTATTCGTTGTTCTCTCGTTTTAACATTACATGTATATCGCTCGAGCTACTCCGCCCGAACAGAGTATCCCCGTCCCCCGCGGCAACAAACTGCACCCCGATGACCTGATGAACATGCGTTTCAAGATTTTTTTTCTACGTTTTGATCGCGTAGTGGCAGATGCAGACATCGATCAATAATGCATGAATATGATTTGAGTATAAGAAGCAGAGTTCGTTATGAGTGGGTGACAACAATGCCAGTGGTTCTAATGCTGGTGCTCTGGTGCAGTGTACGCTAACAGCAAGAGATCTGCATTGAGTGTGCCACGCAAATTTAAACATTTTTCTCTAAATACCGCACTGGTACCGGTAGCGGTCTTCGCCACATGATTCCTCGTAAAGCTAGACTTAGATTTTGTAAGCTTCCTTACTAACATAAAGTCAAAATTAGGTAAGTATATTTCGAATTAGGATAGACTGGGCTGCGTTTATAGGGTATACCTATTCTAAAGAGCTTTTAAAAAAACGTTGCAAGGCGAAGCAGAGCATTTACGCGTTCTTTCACGAATGCCCAAGTACTCGATTTCGACCAAAAAGGCCAAGCTTTAGCCAGCTTAGGTTGAAAGTTACCGTCGTTCATGGGTGTGTTCGCATTGCCCCAGTACACCGCGTTCAATGCACGAGTGGCATTTTCTGACAATTGACTCCACATGATCAGGTCTTGGAAATCACCGGCTTCCGAAGTGGAGTCAAGAGCGTGATCCATGGGCCAGTGGCTCTCGTACGCGACTTTTGCAGTCGTCCCGTCAATTGTATCAGGCCTAGGAGGGGCGTACTTGAGATATCCACTGTGCGCTGACGGCGTGACCGCCAAAATTTTCTCAGGGTTGTCGATCCACACGATGACGTGCTCCCAGTCGTGGCGATGGCCGATTTTGAAGGACTGCTCGTCCTTAGGGAAATACCAACAGTACATGATGGCCCAAACGCCCTGGTACCAGCTAGATCGACCGTAAACCTGTGAGCCCCAGCCTGAGCCCTTGCATCCTGCACTCGGTGCGCCTTTTATTTTCAAACCACCTCCAGTCTCACCGGCTTCGTTGACCGCAGGATACGAGTGGCATCCGTTCGTGATGTGAAGTTGGGGTTTGAACTTAACTGCTGCCTTTTCAGAGATCGTGACAGGCTGAGGTTGAGGAAATGGCTTCACTTGATCGTGGTCGATGGTAATGGGCGCGTAGGGGTTGGAGCCAAAGTTGGCGGCTGGGGGGCTTTCGTTGCTCTCGGATCTGACCTCATTGAAATAGGCACTTGGATCGGTTCGTGAACTTCTTCAGACTCGAAAAGTCGATGTACTTGGTCGTCGAACTGGCGTTTCCCTGCACTTGAACTTCCTGTGATTGAGCTTCCAGCGCTTGAACGACAATTGCTGCGCCCAGCACAGCGCTCAACAGAGTGAATAGCCACATGGACAGAAGCTATTGATCTGCGTCGAGTTCGAATTATTGCAGAATGATAGCAGTCACTGAACAGCCAGACGAGTTAAACAAAATTGAGGCTTCCGAGGCTTCCGAAACGTTAGTTCTCAAACACAAACAAAGTACATATGGTTTTACAGATCACTCATGTTATCTTGGTGAGCGCATACATGTAGTTGCATGCAGCTTCACTTCGACCTCACTTGAACTGTTTTCCGTGGCATGCACTTGATACGAAGTTCTCGATGATAGATCATCGAAGTAATAAAACACTAGTCTAAGTTACCTTTTACCCATGAAAGAAACAACTATAATATCTTGGTGAATCTTCTTCTTGTCGCTTGAGCCTCGCTGGAATGATCGAATCGCGATTTCCGTTTTTCTCCATGTTTTGATCCCATCCTTAAGATAGGATGGATGTCGAATAATTCGAGCTGTGTGTGTATGATTATATTGATATGAATCTGGAACCGAGTGCCTCCTCTCTAGGAGCAGTACCTCCCGCTGGCGCCCGGCACAATCTGCACAACCGCTGAGATAGGCGTCCAGCGCTGCGCCTACAGCACGCGGCGTGCTCGTACATTTACACTGTTTCAGAGCCTGCAACGTAAACTTCGGTAGTAATTGTATTCTAAACAATCTGCCAACTCGACTCGATTGAAGTTTTACATACCGTATGTCAAGTCGCCACGCTACAGCTGCGCTTCGATACTCGAAGCAACTTACTTAAGTACACAACTTGTTTCCTAGTTCCAACAATGTATTGGCACGTGCACTATCTTTATAGCCCTTTGAATTTAGCAATGACAACGTCGAATGGAATGCATACGAAGTTGATCCGCCACCGATGGGACTTGCATGCCCTTAATGCGTTGGCAAAGAGGGACCACACCGAGCTCATCCGCGTGTTTACAGAGTTAAAAGATCTTCCTGTTTCAGCAGTAGACACGCAAGTGAAGACGCTTGCATTCGGGGCGCCGATGCAGTTCCACACATTCGGTAGGTCTTCCTTGTTGTCAATCTGCTGGGAACTCATTCTGAAGACTCGGGTCGCTAGGTTTCTTTGACAAAACGAGTTGTGCGTCTTCCAGCACTTCAATGGCTCTATTTGATCGTGTGGTTGACGGGGATACAATGCTGCTCGTAGCACTGCGTCACTACGACCCACAGTGTGCCACGGCTCTCATTAAGCAAGGCGCCTCCCTGACTTTATCGAATTCTTGTAATGAAAATCCCCTACAAGTAATTTTTGATGCGATGGCAATCCTTCGACTTCACCCGGTTGGCGATACGCAAGAAGTCAGCCAAGCAGAGAGCCGCCTCTTGTATCTGCGTGCTGAATATGAAGAACTGTTTTCTACTCTCCACAAGGAGCTTGCAGCATTTCACGATAAGCAGAAGGCTGAAGCTGAAGGAGAACTGCGACATCTCTACCAATAGTGTGCTCCCGATCGTCTCGCCAAGATTCCGTCACAACTCGAGGCTTACGTCTATCGTGAAAAACTATTGCTTGAAAGCGCTAAGAAAAAGTATACATAAGTATAAGCACTTATGGGATTATCTATCACATCTACAGTAGTCAAGGAAGAAGCGGGGTGACAGTCCTCGCTACAAGTTCTGATACAGTTAAGGAACCCGCTTCTAACTGCTCCAGTATTTCGTCTGCCTCTGTGGAGTTATACGTGATCTGCACTACTGGCACCTCGACGTCGCCTGCTTGGCTTCCAACGCCAGTTGCTTTAATTGTCTGTATCCGTGTTTCTTCGTTGAACCACGAGGAGACCAAGTAGAACGTAGCGTCTTTGCGTAAAACAGTTCGCCACCGTCGCCCCTCGAGATTCAGGAGAGCAGCCACCTTGTATCGAACGGCCCAGTCAGTCTCGAAACCATCTGGCTCCATTCTCTCACGGGATGTCACTTCGTTAAAGTCATCTGCATAATCATCTTCTTGCATCGCCGGATTATGTCGCTGACACGCGTTTTCGCTGGCAATCGTTGACGGACATGTACGTGGCCGCGATCTCTCTCGTGCGGAGCGGGACACGTCAGCTTTTCTGCCGCCATTTCGCACAGACAATGCCCATGAAATGACGAGCTGAGGTCTCGGTGATGTGTCTGGTGCGGTCGGGGCCACCTGGAAGCGCAGTTGTTGCACCACGCCGACTAGTAACTTCTGCAGCTCGTCATCGGTCAATAGAGTTGACAAGCTGGGAACATTTCCCTCCGCTGAAGGAATCTGTGAGACCGTCTCGAGTTTAATCCTAACAAGAAATGTTTAGCTGAGTTTGAGCTCTAAAAGCACGATAAAACTGCTAATTTCGCAGTTACGTACATGATCTCTAGGTCATCCACAATCTGAGCCACCTGCACCAGCGCATCGTGGTTCACCAGCAGGTCACCGGAGGTGCCATCGTTCCAGGATGCGTGGACCATCAGACCGCTGCAAGTGCACAACACCAGTCGTTAAGAAGAGAGCCTAGCCCATAGCCTTTGTGGAGATACTACTCACCGATCGCCAAGCTCTGCGATGTCGGAACGAGTCAGCTCGATTTGTAGCTCGTCCACAGCGACCTCGACGCCTTGTCTGGTCGTGGCCTCCATCAGCAAACACGGCGGCAAGTCCCGAACGTGTTCTTCGTCTTGCACTTCTCGACGATCTTGCAGCTCTTGAAGACGACCGGCTCGACTGTAATTGTGTTTGTTTCTCTGGTCTAGAGACGGCAGGTCGCGTCCTCCTCTTGACAGGCCACGTTCTCGTGTAGTTCTACACCCGCCACGCGAAGGTGGAGCCATCCTCTTGGATGGACTTCTCGGTAGCAAGTAGCCCACAGTTCCGTCTTGATGCATGTGGCTGAACTTGTGGGCGTGTTGCTGCCACTCGCCGTCCCATTTCTTCGTGTTGTAGTACGGCTTCAGATGCGCCAGTCGCTCCTTCAGACGGCGATTCTCTTGGTCGATCGCGTTCTGTCGGCGCTTTCGGACAGCTCGGTTCACAAGAGAGGGCTTCTTGCAGGCGTCGCCGCGACTTATTGCGTTCTCGGGCGACAAATGACAGTCCAAAAGAGGCGTCTGCGTGGCATCAAGTCGAATTCCAGGCATGTGCATGTGGGCTGGACTGTGCACGGGTTTTTGAGGCGAATGGGACGCTGCTGGAGTCTGGACTCGAGCTGTCGACTGCGGTATCAAGGCCTCACCAGGTTTTCGTCGAGGAAGTCGCGATCGCGAGGATGCGGCCAGCACGATATTCTCTTGGCGGCTCATGATCTGCACCATCTTATTGGCAAGACGCTGGTTCTGGTGGTAAATGTCGAGCTGTCGGTCTCTCTCGATCTGCTGGCGCTTGGCATTTATGGCCAAATGAGGATGAGGAGCGGGCGCATTACTGTCCATGTAAACTTTGGATGGAGAGTGGCAGGTAGGCACCATTTGCTCGAGCTTGCGCTGATGTCGCGCTTGCTGTCGGATCACATCGCGCTCGTAGCACAGACGATTGTCGAACGCCAATTTCCTGTTCATCGTGGAGGCCTCTGGTGCTGCTTGATGGTCCTATTCTGGCACGAGACGATGACAAAAATGGTTTTATTTTGGACCAGTGGACACATTTGACGTACTCTTGGACGATCTTCATTCTTTATTTTGCCTTCATACTCCACAGCGAAATGGCTCCATCCTGATTAGCTGAGCAACACACCGCCAGCTTCGGATGCCAGTCCAGATCTGCCACGGTGGTTTGATTCGGGATGAAAGTCGAGATAGCACGCTTCTCACCATGCTGTGTATCACACAAGAAGATGATATGTAAGGCAAGTCTACGGGAGACAAAGAGGTTGAGTCTCGTTCGTACCTTAAAGATGTGGAGAGTAGTAGCATCGGCCACCACAAAGTAGTCGGCAGCTCCGAGGAAGCGGATCGTAGTGTCTACATCCACGTCGGTGGACGCCAACGGCCTGTCCATCTTGTACGTACGTGTCAGGGTCGGCTTGACGTCTATTACGCTTCCTCTAACGTCGCTAGCTGCATCGCTTGGAGACGCCACAGCAATCAGAATCAACGCGACAGACCACTCCATCACCACAGTCCCATTCTCATGCACACTCAGCATCGATTGTCCGTCTGGAGATAAACAAATCGCCGCCAAGCTACCGCCATCGATGCGTGCCGAGCCGCTGCAGGAGACGAGATTGCATCGGTGTATCCGCTCTGGACGAATCACGTCGATGAACTCGATATCGCCCGTTCGACTCCCAGTAATCAGCACGTTCCCCACATTGCTCCACGCTAAGCAGGTCAACTGTTTGTCTTCCATTGGAAAGTAATACTGCATTGGCTCCTCCATGCCCCCATGCAGGACTAGGATCTGTTGAAGCGCGTTGTCCTCTTCGTCCCGACTAGTGAACAGACAGGCAGCAATCGGCGCTTCTCGAGCACACATGAGCTGCTGTATCTGCAAGTTTTCTTCGGTCGGAGGACACGTGGCGACTTCCTGACCGTCGGAATCCCACAAAATCGTCTCTCCGTTGTCCAGTGTACAGGCGAGGAGCTACACGGCACACGTACAAGCGTCAGACTTCGTAATACTGCAGGCACAAGACTGAACACCACGCACCTGTTTGCTGGGGCCTGGGCCAAGCCAGTTCAGACTTATCAGCCTTGACGGGAGCGTAATCGTAGACGACGGGGACAGCGCTACCGGGTTCGCAGACCAAATGTCGATGTGGTTGTTGCCCAGTTTGGCGATGGCAAGAAACTGTCCGTCCGAAGAGAAGCGGCTCCTTGCAGTCATCGCAGACTTTGTGGGTTCCCAGTCGTTGAGCATGTTGAATTCACGGATCAGAGAGGCCTGAATCTCGCCTGGATTCTTGATTTTTGACGCTCCAGAAGACCAAGACGGGGGTTGTATTGGTGTCAAACTGGACTTTGCCAGCTCTCCCTCCGCCTGAGGACTTGAATCTGCAGGGAAAGGACAGAACGCGGGGGACGCAGGGTCACTACAAGCTCCACCATCCACTCGCGCACCCACCGAGTCTTCCTCCACTTCATCCTCCTCCTCATCTCCGCCCAGTTCCTCGTCATCACTCAACTCATCAACAGGGAGATAAACTTCTGCTACTCTCGGCATATCTCGCGGGTCCACGGCAGAAGCAGGATCCACATGCGGGCTCTGGTCACTGCTGATCCCAAAGAGCTCCCCAATCTCCTTCATCTGCTTGAGTGACAGCCCGATACTCGCTGTCACGGCGCCGTAGCTGCGACTGCGACTTCTGTTCTTGTTCCGGTCACTCGACACGTCCACGTAACTAGGAGTAGACGCCGAGAAATGCTCCATGAGGTTGTGCTGCACCATCAGGCGAAGGATCGAGTGCAGTTGTCGTCCTGCCTCCTCCAACTTGTTGATCTTCGCCGTCGCTTCGCTGTTGTACAGTCTCAGCCTCGTCGCTTCGGACTGACTCACCTTCAGTCTCACTTTCAGTGTCGGCTCCTCCAGTCGAGCCAATTGAAAGGCCAGAAGCTTCGGCAACGGCAAACTCCGGAACACCAGCGACAGGAAGTTGCGGAACGACGTCACGAAAGCCTCGAGCCAGGCCTGGCTGAAGAAAACCTGAAAGTATGCGTCGCTTTCGGGGCGTTCGATGTACGGCAAGATGAACCAGCGACTCCACGAGTCCGTCCCAGCCCCTTGAGCAGCCGCTGAGGCGTTTAACTTGTCCGCGTGGAGCTGGAAAAACTCTGCTGCCTTCTCTCGGTGTCCAGATTTGACTGCGTTGACCACGTAAAGTCTCAGCAGTGACGTCTCTAGCTGGTGCAGTGTCTGTAGAGGTTTTAAACAGCAGAAAATCGTTAAACACTTCGTTTTTACGCAGGAAATTGGTGCTCGAGCGCCGTACGGAGGCGTAGGAAGCGTCTAGATGGTTGAAGAATCTGGCAGTGAAGAACTTCCACGTCTCCAGCACTGTTTCTATCTGATAACTGCATACATAGCACAGGTAAGAAAATATTCGACATCTCGGTTTCTAGCGCCTCTACAGCTCTCGTTCCAGCGTGAACATCACGTACGTTTGCACAGCTACCAGCAGCTGTGAGATGATCTGCTCTACGTCAAAGCCCCGGGAGCGGTCGCGCTTGCGTTCGGCGCTGAACACTTGAAAGCTCTGACACAAACGCGTTTCGGTTAATAGCTCCGCGGATACTGGGCGGCTGGAGACGCCAAAAACAGGGGAAGAGCTTTCATCACCTTAGTAAAACCCCGGAACAGCAGATATTCCATCACGAGCTCGTCCACATGCGGCAACAGGCTCGGCGGCTCCATGCTCGCTCTTCCTCCTTTGTTGTTACGTTGCACGCGAATCCTTAATCGAAATGCATACAAACTTCAAGATAATGAAGATAAGGTGTACCACCCTATAATCCTATTATCTAGCATATTGAGTACGTGCAAAACAACCGGTATGCCATAAGTCGTCGCTTCGATGCGCCAGTTGGGACTTGAAGCCGTAAAAGGTGGAGAATGAGGAGCCTGAGACCCGGCGTCACAGTGGCAGCTACCATGGCGGCAAACTTAAGCTTCAGACGAGACCTTCTCGCCGCCACAACACAATTGGAGGCTTCGAGCGCGGACTCATTTGTGTCAAGTCCTCGAGGGGACGACGAGAGTGATGGTCAAACTTCAACTTCTAGTCATGTCGGTCTGTCTCGGCGTTGGACGTGGCCACAGCAATGCGGTGAACTTGTTGTCCGCTGCAGTCGCTACATCTGCTGTGAAGTGTGCGAAGGAGCCGACGCAGCGTGTGGACTGCTACCCGCCACGGGCTAATTTTCCGGGCCCGACGGAGGAGTTGTGTCTGGCTCAAGGTTGTTGCTGGAAGAGCTTAGAGAATGGAGGTATACCCTGTGCGTTTGCAGTCGATGAGCCCCCGAGTGAAGGAAAGTGCAAAAGTGTAGCCAAACCGGCACGTCTGGCGTGTCGAAACCCGAGATTTGCTTCCTCTAGCCTGCTGGAAGATGCTGAGGTCTGTGAGTCTGCAGGCTGTTGCTTTGACGATGGAGACTGTTTCCAGCTTACGAGTGACGGATATGAGCTTCTTACACTGGATGAGACTAGCCATGGCTGGCGCGGAACACTCGCCCTGCGTCATGGAGGACGTGGACCGTTTGGGAACGACGTGCCACTGCTGGAGCTGAATGTCGTCCGGGAATCGTCGAGTCAAGTGAGGATTCGTATCACCGATCCAGCCTTCCCGAGATATGAAGTACCAGATCTGCCAGTGCGACGTCACGCAGACAAAGAGGGGGAGACTGGCAAGGAGGATGAGTACAAGGTTCACTTTACTCCGTGGCCATTTGGAGTGGCTGTAACTCGTCGAGACTCTGGAGAAGTGTTGTTTAACTCCACTCCGCCAGTTAAGAGAGCAGAGGGAGGTGAAAGCTTCAGTGGTCTAGTGTTTGAGAACCAATTTCTCGAAATCTCGACGCAGTTGTCAGCAAGTGAGGAAGACGACCAGCCTATTCTCTATGGACTCGGAGAACGACTGGGGTCGGCGCGACTTCGAGCGGATGGAAATGGGGATCTCTATCCAATGTTCTCACGTGCGCCGAATGCTTCCGCTCCTGTTCATTCTCGTAGTGGTGGAGACAATTTGTATGGGGTCCACCCGTTCGTTCTTCAATTGGAGGATGGCAAGTCTGGCAATGCACACGGAATATTCGTGCTTTCTTCGAACGCAATGGAGGTGCTGGCACGTCGTGATGCACTGACATACCGACTGACGGGTGGAATTTTTGACATATTTGTGTTCTCTGGTCCAACACCGCATAAAGTAATTGAGCAGTACACGGATATCGTGGGTCGTCCAGCGATGCCTCCGTATTGGGCTTTGGGCTATCATGTCGGTCGTCGTGGAGAGGCAACGTCAGCTGATGAAGCAATGAAGGTCGTCACACAGCTCCGTATGGCTGGCGTCCCCATGGACGCGTACTGGCAAGACTTTGAGTATATGGCGGATAATGGGCGAGCATTATCCTTGGATGAGACGAAGTTCTCGCATGGTGACATGCAGGCGTTCATTGATGACTTGCACTTCCACTCGCAGTATTTTGTATGCGTCCAAGTTCCGGCCATCACGATGCAAGAAACGTCAAGTGAGATCGCGAGCAAGAGCAGGAAGATGGCAAAGTACAACGCTTTGATGAGCGCACGTAACGTCAGCGAAGACGACGAAGACGACGAAGGCGCTGGAGGCCATGGCGACAGCAAGGCACATGACGAGGATATCCACAGCGATGATGACGATGCGAGTGCTGGCGATAGCACAAGTGAGCAGAGTGAAGAGGGCGATCAAAGTGCTGAGAGTGGCCGTGGTGATCACAGTGAGGGTGGTAAAAGAGATTGGGATCCAGTAGCGCGGGGCGAAGAGCTGGACATTTTCGTGAAAGGAGTGAACGGAGAGCGCTACGCGCAGAAGGCTTTCCGGTCTGGTTGGGCCGTGTTCGTTGACTTTTTCCACCCTAAAGCTCCACAGTTTTGGCACGAACAGCTCGCCAAATTCCACAAGTACGTGATGCCTTTCGATGGTTTGTGGCTCGACATGAACGAACCCAGCAGCACGTGCGACTGCGCTCTAGCAGCCAAAGACGATATCTGCTCTCATATTTGCCAAGAGTGCCACTCGGCCGAATCGTCTAGTGACGAGAAGATGGTAGAGTTGGAGCAAGTTGCTGTACCGGGCGACGGAGGCTTCATCCGCACGAACGACGTGAATTTTCCGTTTGATCCGTATCGCCAGCCTTTCGCTCCGGGCCAAAGCGAGCCGAATAGTGGAGGTCACGGCAATCTGAACTCGGGTACTCTACCGATGGCTGCACTGCACCATTCGTCACTACACTACAATCTCCATTCCTTGTACGGCCACGCACAGGCTCGAGCCACACACGATGCACTGAGCTCCATTGTCAAGAAACGGAGTGTGCTACTGTCTCGCTCAACGTTCTCTGGGACTGGTCGATATGCTGGTCACTGGGTGGGCGACGACGCAGAAGCTTCGTGGGAGCAACTTCGCTTGTCGATCTCTGGGACTTTGCAGATGAATCTTCTCGGTATTCCACTTACAGGCCCCAACGTCTGTGGATCTCGCGGGCGCTCTTCGACGGAGCTTTGTGTCCGTTGGCATCAAGCAGCTTCGTTCCTGCCACTGCTTCGCAATCACGCAGAAAGTGACGGAGGCAAGCAAACGCCTGTGGACTTCGACGCCGACGCTCTGAATATCTTGCGATCGACTTTGCTGCGACGGTATCGATATCTGCCGTACATGTACACGCTCTTCTACGAGGCGCATCGCTCGGGCAGTCCTGTCGTTCGACCCCTTTCGTTCGAGTTCCCAGGTGACAAGAACGCTCGAGATATTGAACACCAGTATCTTCTCGGGCCGGCGCTGATGGTCTCGCCTGTTGTACATGAAGGAGCAATCTCTGCAGAGGTGTACTTCCCTGATGCCAAATGGTACGATGCTCACAATGGAAAGTTGGCGCTGGATGCCGCTGGAGACAATCGACGTGTCAGCCTGTTGACTCCTCTTCCCAAGCTCCAAGTTCATCTTCGTGGAGGGTACATCATCCCGACGCAACAATCGCTGACGACTACGGCTCGGTCTCGTCGTGGGGCGCTTACGCTTCTAGTAGCGTTGGACACGTCGCAGAAGACTCCATCGGCCTATGGAGAGTTGTACGTGGACGACGGAGACTCACTTTCAGCAGTGGAAGATCATCGCTACTCGCTGATGCACTTCGGTGTACTGCAAAATTCGAGTGATACCGTTGACTTCAAGAACTCCATCAAGTTTCATGGATATGCTGGGCCAGAGATGCAAGCAGACCTCAAGGAGGTTCGTGTGTATGGTGTACGTGGAGAGGGTTTTGCAGCGAACTCGTCGATGAATGCGACGCTCTTGTCGTCTAGTGGTGAAGGTTCTCCTCGGGAGCTCGCAGTCAAGGCGGAATACTTCGCGCAATCCGAAATGCTAGTGCTTTCTCGATTTGATGTGCCTGTGGGGCAGGAATTCCACGTGAAGGTGGTGGCTCAGCCTGCTGCCACGCCTGAAGGCGGGAAGAAAGAAACGGGTGTAGGTGCGAACGCTTCTGGAAAATCTGGGAGTGAAGAAGAGGCTGAAAAGGGGGCTGCGGGAGGCAACACACCTGCTGAGAAGAAGAAGAAATCCATATTTTCAGTCACCGGAATTGTGGGTATTGTGGTGGGTTGTGCCTTCCTGGCGGCAATCATTTTGGTCTTCTTGCTACGTCGTCGTCGTCGGGGGTACAATACACTCTGACGAGGGCCGGAAATGAGGCATCAAAGGAGGTGATCGAACGCGCTGAACAACGCTCGAATGCTTGAGTAAGTGCTTCTACGCTAGGGGATGCTGGGGCTGAAATGAGGGCGCTGATACGAGTCGTTTGATTGTTGTTAAGGCAGAACGTGAATGAAGTTTTACCCGAGAACAACGGAGGATTAGTTGCGTTCGTTTGCGTACTTGTGACGATCGTAGCTCTGCGAGTCATCGTAACGATACTCATGGTGGCATCTTCACAACTTTTAATGATACTGCGGCTAGCTGAGGAATAATTAGTTTTTTTTCTTACCGAGCATGACTACATTGTGCTGCGAATGCAAAATACCAATTATACAGGACATCAGGATTGCTGGAGTTCATGAAGAGCACTGTCCAAAAGCCGGCGTCGTTCCTGACTCAGTCGCTTCAATTCATGGATCGTCTTCCCCGTCAGAGCTCCGTTTGGAAAGAGCTTTACACTGGGAGACGCCCGCAGTGCCGTCGTTGGATCCTCCGCTATCGTTTCAGCTGGACGCAAGTTGTCGCCTGTGTCCCGCAAATTATGTGTGTCCGTCGTCTCGAGCTGAAGAAGGAACGCTTCCTCCTCTTCTTCTAGTCGCACGATCGAGCGGAGTAAGTTCAAGACTGTTGAGCTGCAATTGCCATGAGCCAGCAGCGCTCGAGCTAAAGGACTCACGCCAACACAAGGATTGCGGAGATGGAAGTGCAGTTTCTGGTGCTCGAAGATGCCGCAATCGAGGATTTCAGCGCAGGTTGGACGCAGTTGCGGCTCTTCTTGGACCATGGCGCAAATGAGCTCGGCGATCTGCGGGTGATCGTCCACAAGCGACGGTGGCAATTGACCTCTACGAAGGTTACTGAGCACCACATAACGCTCCATCTGCGTCGTGAAGGTGCAAAAGAGCTCGCACAGGAGAACGCCAAGGCTGTAGACGTCGCTAGGAGCGACACACGTTTGGAGACCGTGGGTCTGCTCCGGACTGCTGTAGAGAGGCGTGCCGACACCCACTGATAGCTCCGAGAGCTCTTCCATCTCCTCATCGGTGCTGTTGCACGACATGGAGTCAAAGCTGTCGCCTCCCCTCTCGTGAAGATACCGAGACGGATGGAGATTCAAACTGGCCTGAAGAGTGTTTTTGGACAGTCCGAAGTCTCCGATCTTGACACAGAACTCCCGTGTGAGGAAAATGTTGGCTGGTTTGATGTCTCGATGCACTAGCCCTTTAAAGTGGACGTATTTCAGACCATGGACGATCTGACGGAAGATGTGCATGTTTTTGGAGACATCGATGTCTCCAGACTTGCGTTGATCTATCCACTCCCGCAGTGACTTGCCTTCGTAGAGAGCCATTTGAATGTACACATCGATCTGAGTGATAAAAGCCCCTCCGTTGGACGTGGACGAGTCCCACAGCTTACGAGGACGTTCCATGCTTTTTGAGTGTCGGTTGAAAGACTCATCGCCGTCTTCATTGATACGTTGAGGGCTGGTCCTTCCCGCAGCGAGACGTTGCGATCGAGCTAGCGATATTCGAGGGCTAATGTTGCGTTCATCTTCTTTGGTCTCTTCCATTTCAAAGCCCAGATCGGTAAAACTAGCCACATTGTCGTCCTCGGGGTCGTACGAGAACGCATCCGAGTAATTGGACGAGCCCATCTCGACGTCATCGTTCATATCTACCGACTCACTTATAGAAATGAAGCTTAATCGAGACGACCCGGCTGGACTACTAGTTCGTCTCGTGAGGGTGTGCGTAGGAGTGTAGCAGGGACTTTCCGGTTGTTCGACCTCTTGTCCTTTATTTACCGCCGGAATGAGCGAGCCAAGGACCCATGTGTTGTAGTAGCGGCAGACATTTTCGTGATCCAGACCTGCCAACACGACAGCCTCGTTCATCATGACGTCGCGCACTTCGGCCGGATTGAAATACGTCTCCGGTTTGAACCAGAACTGTTCGAGTTTCACAGCATACCAGTGTCCGTCAATGCTCGACTTGCACTTGTACACTTTGCCAAAACCTCCTTGAGCGATCAGCTCCTTCTCTCCAAAGTCCGTATCAAACGGGTTTGAGCGTTCAAACAGCCCACTACCGGAGCGTTCTCCTGGTCGCTCCCGACGTTGAGAGGCTGGTGGGGACAAAGCACTTTGCTGCACTGGTTTCCCGTTCTGAACGGGGGTTGACAAGCATCTCGAAAGTGGCAACACCACTGGGCTTTGCCAAGGGTTTGGTGGGGTGGTCGAGTTCTTCTTCTTGTCGGCACGTTCAGGGCTTTTTGGAGATCGGAGCATTGCACTGGAACGGCGATTGTTGCAATGATAGGATGCAGGACCTTGCACAAAGCGGTACATGGTCCAGTTTCACAAAAATAGCGGTCATCTTAACGATCTGATCGTGCAGGGGCTGCTTTTTCTAGCCCAAAGTGCCTGCATTCCTAGTCGACTTGTATTCTGTCGTTTCGCCTCAAGCGGCTCTTCCGGAAGATATGGCCAAAGAGGGGATCAATGGTGTCTTTGGGAGGCCCAAGACGTTGCGAAGCAAGTCTGCCAAGGCCTCCGATCGGCTGGAAGAGGATGCTCAAGCCATGGAGACGAGATTGCGTCAACTCCGAGTGACGATGCTGGAAGAGAAGAAGAAACGAGACGCAGACCTTCCTCTTAAACACGCAGGGAATCGGTGGCGTAGTGCTCGGGAAGATCGCGGTAGTGTGAGGCAATACGCGCGTGATGTTCAGGATAAGAAGACGGTCAAGAAAAATGAGAGTGCAGATGCTGGAACCAAGAAAGGAAACGTAAAAAAGTGCTCGTCGCGATCGAAACTTGTTATTCTTTCACCTGCCACGGTGGAGCAGTGGACGGTGCCTCAAGTGCTCGAGTGGCTTACAGCAATTGGGCTAATAGAATTTCAGATAGGGTTTGAATTCCACCAAGTTACAGGAAAAATGCTTCTGAACTTGTCACCTGCAGGATACGAGAAACTTGGCGTCTTTAAGCTGTCGGCTCGTAATCGATTGCTGGCTGAGATGGAACAGATCCGTGCCCAGCGGATCAAACAGAACGGCACTCAGGCAGCGGAAATCATCGACCCGAAGCTTCGTGATCCTCAACTCGGTCTTGAAATGTCATCACCATCTAGCAAACTCGCCGCGAAGACGCATTGGTCGCATGTAGCTCCACTTTCAGAGAACGCTGTTGGTAGCGGGGATGGGCAAGTTCCAGTCAACCTGGCTGATGGAGATTTCGATGAGGATGAGAGCCACGCTTCGTTTATGAAGGCGCTTCTAGAATGGAGGGAGAGCGACTCAAAGCAGCTAACGCTAGAAGCCAATTCGAACCAAGAGGAGGAAGAGTGGGTGAATCCCATGTTTAGTACTGGAACGGAAGAAGATCACAAGGGTGGGGGTGCTTTACTGGAAGGCACGTATAGCGAAGAGGAAGCACAGAAGTCGTTCCAAGAAGCCGTGGTGGAATGGAGAAACGGAGGCGATGTTACGGTATCTGCTGGGGAGCGCTCTGTGGCTCCAGTGGAACAGACTGAGAGTGGCTGCGCTCCAGGCGAACGACAAAGCTGCTGGCAATGCTATCGTGTCATGCAACTGGAGGATTTAGTACACGATGAGCAGACTGGCAAGTCGTTCTGTGGTTCCACGTGTCAAAGAGCTTACTGCGAGCAATATGCTCGGTTCTATACAACCTCATCATAAGTATCGTGAGTCATCAGTAAAGAAACAAAATAAATAGACGTGCAAAGTATTTTTATTTGTTCTGCTTAGCTTTTTTTACCATTTACAAACCCCGCATGAAAAAAAGCCCGCTTCCAATGTTGAAATTTGCTATCAAGTAAAGAAGCCCTGTATCAACTGACATGTGAAAAGCTGGTCTACTCTAATAGACCAGGTTTCTAAAACTAATGCTCGTGCTTGTGACTTGACCACAAAGGCCACTTTTCATTAAAAGAATGGCGAGCAGGCGAAAGGTAATTCTTATCTGAAAGAAGAATTTTTTTTTGCATTGATCCACACGACGGAAGCTTCGGAAGTCGACGCAGAGATTAGAAGTCCTCACTCAAAGACTAGCCCCCTTGGTAAAACCCGTTAGTACTTTGTTCGACTGTTTCGCTCAGCGTCTTTGCCTTTCTTTCCTGTACTCGTACAGACTAGCAGAGATGAAATGCGCTTCACCGTCGATCGGTCCATGACGTCGAAGTCCAAATCGACCAAATCTTCTGGCTCTTTAAAAAATTGCAGTATTAGACAGGGTAACATCACCAGTACAACAAAAAGATTGCAATCTTTACCTTTGCCGTCATCAGCTTTCACTTGTGGTGGCACAGTATTTACGCCAAGAACATAATACGGCTCCTTGGGTTTTGGTGGGATACGGATGTTAAACGGTGAAGTGAAATGCTCAGCAGATACCACCCCCAATTCTGCTATTGCCTTCGACGCGTTGGTGGGTTCGGCCTGTTCGCCGACTGCGGTAACCTCGCCTGAAGTTGAAACCTCGTCGGCGGGTGACCGGTTCGATGGGTTGTCGGAATCGTGTCGAGTCTCACGCACGAGCTTCATCATTTCTTCAATTGAGCCCATGAGCGCATTCTCGATTCCTGCCATGTCGTCAACATTCACGGTGTCGTTTGTGACGTTTTGCAGTATTTGCTGCAGTCCGATCTAAACCAGGAGATCACAACGTCATCTTGTGACATGATGTTTCTTGCAGGCAAACAGTAGACAACCTTTAGGGGGCGGACACTTTGATCGACAAACATGAACTGATCCACGACGGTAGCGAGCGCTCGCTCCACACTGGAGATTTCGATCTCCTTAACCTCAAGTCGCTGCGAAGTGCCACGCTTAGACAGCGGGACCTTCTCGTTTGCAATATCCCTTGATTTCGCCTGGAACGCGAATGTGTTAAAAAGAAAAAAACAGTATACAACCAACAGATCACAAAAAAAAAGCTTACGAGCTGGTCGCGCAAAACGGCAATGCGCTCCATGTCTTCGTCGTGTTTGGCGTCCAGTTCCTTCATGATTTCCTCATGGGAAAGCCACGTTCGAATAATTTCTTCCGGGTCTACACCTTCACTGAAATGACCAAATCCCATCCGTAGAAATGCCTGGCGATACTCCTCTTGCGGGTCAATTTCATCCGATGGGGTCATGTTGACGTTGCGCATTTTGTTAGGTGAACCTACACCATCACGAGTCTGTAAGCTATTTCCAAAAGAGATCGGTGAATAAATGACTAAAACGCACGGGATCGAGAGCGACGACGGGTGTTTGGAGAGCCCATTTTTACACTTGGTAACCCGTCAGAGCTCCCATTCTGACCGATCAGAGTTTGCATTTGATCATTGTAGTATTTCTCAAATTTTGCCTTCTCGCGTGCCCATTTCTGGCGCATCTCAACTTCACGTTTGTACTTGCGCAGATTCACTGCCATCTCCGCCTTCTGCTCCACGAGTCGCGTCTGAATCTGACTCACAGCCTCACTCGCGTTGATTTCTTTCTTCTGCAGCTCTTGCGTCTGGTGATTCAGATCTGCAAATCGAGCTTTGAGTTCGTTCGTCTCTTGCGCCACTTCAATGCGCTCATTCAACAGCCGCTTCTTAATATGCTCCAGCACCATCGAACTGCGTTGTACCTCATGAGAAGCTTGAGCTCGTTTCTCTAACTTGGTTTCCAGCTCGTTAATCTTCGTGTGTTTCGAGTACACGGGTCGTCTCGAGATGGATGCGATGGGTTGCAGGCGGTTGGGTTCCTCCACAATTTTGTCGTTGCGTCCTCCTTCTTCGCTCTGATTGTTGCCAGGATTATAGTGCAGTCCCAGCGCTTCACTATCCTTGATGAGATCCTGCAGTACCAGCTTGGCCTTCTCCACCTCTTCGCGCTTCTTGACAACCTCAAAACGCAGTTTGTCGCTCTTGGCTCGCTTGAGCTCGACAACCTTTCGCACTTTGTGCTCCAGGTCGCGAATCAATTCTTCGCTGGTCGCTCCTACACGTTCTCCGTTTACAGCTCCAGGGACGTTGCGAGAGGGCGACTCCGGCGCAGCAGGGAGCAGTGCAGCTGACTGCGGTCTCAGTTTGCCTTGCAGCGGCTGCTGACCCTTAGCATTCGCCTTCCGCTCGCCCGTAGTTGGACGTGGGGGCATCTCCAGCTTTGTTATCCGTTTCATTAAACTGCATCTAAAACTTTATTGAGCTTACTTCCTCAATAACTACATGTGACGAAGCTGTACCACGTCGTAATCACCAAAAATGAGTGCAAGTTGAAGTGATCTGTTACTTGATTGGCCAATATCTCGTCTCAGAATCCAATCGTGTTCGACGTGGCAATAACCGACGTGCCAGTGCCTCAAAGGCAAGATTCAACTCGATGAGCAGCTCCAGCCCCTTCCGCGACAGCCTACGCAGCCAGAGCTCTGTGCAGCTCATGGGGTTCATCGACCACTGTGTGCGTGTGGACGTCCAGGAGACGACGGAAGAAGGAGAGCTGCGTATCCGCGGCTACGAGACGCTTTTAGGCACGAGCACCGCCGTCTTATCCTGTATTCAGGTGTTACGTCGAATTATCCGCGAATATGCATACGGTCGAGTGGGACGAGAGCTGCAACATTTGTCACTAACCGTGGCCTCCTTCGAGCGCGTACTCTACACCTTCATCAAGGAGGAGATCGTCGTGGCTTCTAAGCATTACGCTAGTCGTCCAGCTGTGGATTTCAGGACAAAAACGGCACTTAAAGATATTATACCTTTGATTCCGACTGATGAGAGGTACACGATCCTATCGGGAGGTGTGGCGTCGCTCTTACGTCACGCTACCAAGTCATTGGAGGAGACGCGGCAGGTGCTGGAAGAACTCCAATCTGGATACAATCCGGATCGCGAGAACCGCTGGTCCAGGACGTCCGTGGTGCTTGTACTGACGTTCATGTTTCTCTACAAGAGATTCCGTATCCGCACGTCGTTCAAGCAGTTCTTAATGCAAGTGATGCCTACGCGGCAGATGGTCAAGTGGGGGATTGTGCTCCTCGTGGTTGCAGACTACTGGAACCGAGCCATGTATCGATTCTCCAACTTGCGACGTATCAAAGTGCATCACGCCCGAGTCCTTATGGCGCTGAGGCTCTTCTTGCTCTGTCAGCATGTGCTGCAACGTGCTCGACCGATCAGTAATGCGTCAGACCATCGACTGCTGATTGATAACCCGATGGAGGCAGACATCGACGACGATCTAAAGAATGCCACGACGCTCTTGGTGGAGAGAGTGCCGCTGCCTGCTGAGTACTACGACCGGTCGTCGGAGCCATGGGGGTTCACAGCTTTCAAGATCGGCACGAATGTTCTCACAGCTTCCAGCGCCTTTGCCACTCGAGTTCTAGAGCATCAGAATAAGCTGCTACTCAAGATCTTGGGCCCGCCGCTGCTTGTTATGGCAATTCCATACTACGCGATCCGAAACGCCAAAGCGGCAAGATACACAACTCGTACGCTTATCGACCACCCGGATGTGGACGTCATTCGCATGGGCTGGCAGGTGTTCGGTGAGTCTCGACTCGTACGATTCATCACGAGTCTGCAGTGCCCCAAGATTCCTGTGTTTGAAGAGCAGTTCCTGGCAGCAGATGGCGCCAGTCTCAACAAGAATCGCAGCAACGAGTCTGATATCGGAATTTATTTTTTCAGTGCACGACCGATGGAATCTGTGAAGGCAGGGACGTGGACGAACGCTTGCACACCATTAACGACGAAGATGATTGCGTGCGGGCTGCCGTCGACGCGTCCTGTTCTCCTCTACATCCACGGCGGAGGCTTCTTCGGACGGTTTATTGCAAAAGATTTTCTAAATCTAACAAACTGGGCCTGCGTGCTGGGTGCAGTTATCGTCTACGTCGGTAAGTTTATCCTCTCAGAACATACACTTTTTTTCTATTTGCTGACTGCTTATGATTTGCCTTTGCAGATTATGGTCTAGCACCAGAGACGCACTATCCGGACTCCATGAACCAATGCTACACTGTGTACAAGTGGGTGCTTAATGGCGGATTGGGATTCCGTCCTGGCAAGATTTCACTGTTCGGTGAAAGCGCTGGTACGAATCGTGCTATTATACACACCTATTGCTTCTTCCGTCTCACGCACGTCAATCTTCTTGCCTGCAGGTGCGAATATTGGGGCTGCGCTTTGCATTCGATGCATCCAAGACGGCATCGATCTTCCCAGTGGGAACGTGTTCATGTTCCCTGCACTGAATCTGCACTTGTCGCCATCGCCGTCACGATTCATCCACCAGAATGACCCTGTGCTGCCACGTGGCATACTTGAGCTGGCACTCACGTCCTACTACCCTTCTCACGGCCACTCGAACCAGTACAAACTCAACATCCACGATCCGTGCGTGTCGCCTGGATTGGCGGAGGACTCATTACTTGAGAAATTCCCGCCGACTTCGCTCGTGGTAGGCGACTTGGATCCGCTTCTGGACGACAGCGTCGACTTCTACACGCGGCTCTCGTTCTTGAAGGTACCGTCGACATTGAAGATTTACTCAGGGCTTTCACATGGCTTCCTCATCTACGGTGACTTGGTTCCGGAGGCTCAGAAAGCCATTGATGAGACGTGCGAGCGCGTACAGAACTGTATCCGACTACGTTAGGTAGCGCAAAGCTCGAGTGTAGTACACTGTGTACAGTAATGAATTTCCCCGTCAGTTCTTGTGCCGTGCTGATCTAATGCGACGGTAACTTAGGAAGTATATCAGATTTCTGGAACTGCTAGCGGCAAGTATTGTGCATTCTACTCAAAATTTCCGTACCAGGACAAAAAGCATATCGGACGTGGAGATATTTCCGACCAGGGCTTATTTCGGGCCATAGCCAATCCATACAAATTCAAGTCAAAAAGAAAAAGGGAGATCTATCTGTGCGAACCTTAGGCTATTAGGGGTAGTCAATGCGCAGCAGTTAGTTTTTTTTTTCTGCCGCAGCAAGTTTAACTTTTTTCCAGGGGTGAAATATTTTTGAGCATCCAGAATCAAAAGTCGCGCAAGTCAGGCAGCAGCTACATTTTTTCCGGCGATCTGCAAGGAGAACAGTCGCAGATACACTCGCAGATCTTAATGGCGCCGTGCAAGTGGAAGGCATGCAGTCGCGTTGCGAAGGCTACAACTGATGAATCGTCATTACTATCGTGTGGAAATAACGGATGTGAGCACAGCAGACATCGCAGTTGCTTGGCTACAATGCTCTCAACGTTCGGTGGCAAGGAATCGTTTGACATTAGTGTCTGCGGAAAACGCTGTTATAATGCTGCTGTGAAGGCCCGTAGGCTGGCTTTGATAGAGCAGCCTGCTAAGGAGAGAATTTCGTGGCACAACGATGGTCCAAATTCCTAAATTTAATAATTAAGTGATTAGCGGACAGAAACAACTACAACCACTACAGGGGAGGAGAGGGGCAAAGTGGTGAGACCAAGCAAACGCTAGAAACTGAGATGGTGGATGCTATCGTAGACAGTGAAGTGTTCATTGTAAGAGCACCAAAGGACGTGATGAACAAGATCCTCGGCCTTGAGACCAGCTCCCGTTCGGCTTCTGACTGGTTAGCCAACACTGGCCAAGGTGTGGATTCGGAGAGGGATTTATGAGCCGCAATACTACGAAGATGCCCAAGTTTTTACGAGCTGCAGTCCGTTATGGACGACAGTCCTCGTACACATCCGCTAATATTGATTACTAAAAGAAGGATTCACATACAGCGATCGCGACAGCGATAGCCCTTATTCCGAGAAAGTCCCAGAGCTGGTGGCAGTACTGATTTAAGTGACAGTGCTCTAATTAGCATCCGACGCGGAACTTCACAAGCACCAGCAAAAATACAGGCAGCGTCCACGCAGCAACAACCGGGCTAGCTCAAAGAGTGTGTCATAAACGGAGAGGGGGCGCGCTGGCGTGTATCGTAAGCGCCAACGTCAGCTCAAAGAATAAGCGTGTTTTGACTGCCGACCACTGCGTAAATTCCGTTTGGTCTGGCCATGCAATCGTGCTACTCTCCAATACCAGCAGCGCCTTACTTGCACGACGTAGATACTTCCGACAGTACCTTTGCCAAGACCGAAAAATGATCCATGCTTAGAACACTTCAGCAATACCATGAGGCGAAGCTCAACAGACCCACGAAATGGGCAATTCCCTCTAGATATGAGGACAGGATCGCTCTTTACCAGTACCAAGTCGACGAGGCGGAAGAATGCCTCCCTCTCTAGGTGGTAGTGCTCGAAAAATTTATCTGTATTCAGACACTCCGTATCTCATAGTAAAGACTTCCAGTGGTCCTCTCGACGCTTGGTCTGTACCAATATCCATGCACGTTCTCGTAAGCTTGTGCGTTGGATAGGTCCAGCTCGTCTTCACTTGAGGCATCCGCATCAACAAGATACCGTAGGAATGACGCAGCGCTCTTTTCTTCGACGACGACGTGCAGCTCTCGGAGGGTAAGCTGCCTAGTACTGTGGCGTGACAGCACCGCAGAAAAAAGATCTTGCTGCTGCTGAAAGCTGAATGGGGTGGTCAAACGTCCGCATTGTGATTGAATAAAAACAAATTCTGGCGCCGCCAAAAGGAAAAAAAATCTAACTGCTGATAACCCCATTAGGGTGTTTTAACCCTTTAGGACCTAAGCCTTAAAGTCCCTCAGGGGGCCTCTTACGTAAGCATACGATTGGCTATATATACATTTATAGAACGTTTGCCAGTCCCTTCTGTCGTGCCCTGTCTCTTTATTTTCTAAGAGTCCCAGTTTGGGACTCTATCTCGACCAGAAAGATACCACTATAGTAAATGACCATAAGTCATTGGTAGAAATTGCGAAATACGCTAATCTTATTGGCTACATTTTTGGAGGCCCTGGCAGGGTCTCTAAGACGACCTCAGGTCTTAAAGGGTTAAAATCAACGTTATTGGTATTTATTTCAGCTCAGCAAATCCGCGACATTTCACCACGGTATTTTGCCAATCCAAAATTTACCACCTCCAGAGGTGATGGATTTCGAAATACCCTGGGTATTTGGTCGAGACGAATGGCCTTGGGAAGGGGATCAGCAGCAGGAACCCGATGTCTTGCCTCTCTACGAGAGACCGTACTGTCGGCGTTAGCTTTACCAGCACCCCCCCTCCCCCCTCTCTACCATTTTACTTCCTCCCTGACACTGTCAGGCTAACAGACACATTGCCCAAGCATAGCGCTAAGATAAAGCCTTCGGGCAGAGTTTTCTTCCTACACATCATATATGCTTAAAACTACATCCACAACACTTTAATGTTCATACTCCTCGCTGCAGAAATGTCTATCATACTTAAGGGCGGTCCACCGGCAGTCAACGGTGTTCAAGCTACAGAGATCATCTCGAGCAAGGCTTCCTTCCTGCGCTTGACTCTACAAGTATAAAAATCTAATTAGTCGTGTGACTTAAATAGTCATGCATCGTACTTATACGAAAGTATACTGTGCATACACCGTAATTAGTCATACACCACATTTAACATACACCAAGATTAGGCATGCTGACAACAGCAACACCAGCCAGCCATTCTGTTACTGCTCTTTTCATTCGCAGCCTCCAAGTGTTTTCTCACTTTAAAACAGGCATGGTAGAAGAAGTGCCGCGCAAGATTCAGCCGGCCGTTCCTCTCTGCGATCGTGTACGGTGCACCGACTGGATGGAGCTGGATCAAGCTTTCAGAGGTTCTAAAGGTCTGTATGGTAGAACTATCGACTTCTTTCCTTCGCAGTTTCGCTCCTCGGATAGAAGGGTGAACATGAACAAAGCTCGCGACTGGTGGAAGAAGCGTGTTGACACAGCTACGAGCCTAGGGTACCCTAAGCAGCTCAAGTATGCGAGTGGAAGACAACGTTTCCGGCATCAATTCGTCGTAATAGCTCTGGATGGGAGGGGCAGCAAACTAGCGGAGCACTGGATGTGGCTGTAACCACTTTTACTGACAGAGTTTCAGACACTACGGTGAGCCGGTGTCAGGCTCTCGAACCAGCTTGTCGCTGAAATGGGCGTCGTCCTCATTTAGGGTAGCGAGCACCCACGCTTCAACTCTCACTTCATTGTCAAGAACAAGCCATTTACGAGTCTTTTGACACCTCGTCGCGTTCAAGACTTCTTGGAGCGCTACAACATCGTCTACAGGAGACACAAGGGCAAGAAGCAGGTCAGCGTCGAGAATTGGCGCAGATCGATATATCTATAGCGAAGCACATGGGTACCAGTTTGAAGAAGGAACGCTTCACCCTGATCAGCTGAACAACATAGACGAGAGCCACTTCGTTATTGACCCTGACGATAGCAAGACGCTGGACTTCGTTGGATCCCAGTCCGTCAAATACCGCAGTGTCGTGTCAGGTATATACATGTAATATGTGGATTTACGCAGTGATGATCCGAATTAAGTGTGATAGGTCGTGAGGGCATCAAAATGCGTGTTCTATTGAAAGGGGGTAGCGATGCACGCATACTGTGTCCGACGCTGATATTCAAGAACAAGAACTCTAGCTACCCTCTTCAACATCTTGCCGATTCGACGCCTGGTGTGTGCTACTGGACTTCGGCGAGTGCGTTCATCAATGGACGTCTAATGTGTCAATGGCTGCGCGACCCAAGGTGCTGGGGACCGGGTGGGCTTTTCGCGTCTGAACGGATTCTTTAGACGGACAACGCTAGTGGACATTGCGCTACAGACGTCCTGGACACAGCTCACGAGCTGCGGACGAAGGTGAGACTTTTCCATGCTAGCGCCACCGACAAAGTCCAGCCCGCAGACTGCTTTCCGATTCAGCGTAACAAGGACCACTGGCGTCGCCTTGCCGAGCGACGGAATACGGAAGCTATTCGGAATGGTGAATGGAGGACTGGCAATTCTTCATCTGGAAAGCTTGCAAACCCTGGGAAGAAGTTCTTTCTTGAGCTGGCAGCTGAGTGCATCCGCCTCGTTAACTTATAGAAAGACAAAAACGGAGAAAATTAGGCATAGAAGTCCATGGCTCAGTGCGGACTGGATCTTCCTCGTGACGGTGTCTGTAAAATCGAGCAGTTCAGTAGAGCGCTTCAAGGGGTTATTGCGATGTATCCTGACACTTTTAACAACGGCTACAAGGGCGCTGCAAGATCTACAGATATTTAGTAGTACATTTTTTGTATTCATAACGCATAAATATGTTTTTCCGCTTTCTCCAAAAGGACTTACATGGCGGTTCCAGACCCCTAAGAAATCCTTCTATGTTATCGCTGCGCGCGGACTCGAACCCGCGATATTGCGCGTGGAAAGAAGCGACTAAACCTCCACTAATGCTGTCGTATTTTACGAAAGTGCAAAAATTTCAATAAGCCGGTAATGGTCGTGCACCAAAATTTAGTCGTGCACCAAAATTGATCATGAGCAAGTTTGAGCATTTGGGGGATACACGGTAAATAGTCGTGCCACGACTAATTAGGGTGAACAATGTACAGGATTGGCAAGTACGTCCCAGATTTGAAATTTCCAAAGTGCCGATTTTGAGCCCCCTATTATAATAGTACCACACTGAAAGCTTGTAATGTGGATGCCAAGGTACACCTGTTTTGAATTAGCCAACCCTCACTTAGCTCTGGCAC